TGAATTCTGCTCTCCCAAACAACTTCCCTCCCAAATCTGGTTTCTACCTTTCCATTGGGTGGGTGGATGGAGCAAAACCATTTTAGTTTGTGAAGGATTTTGGAAATTGCAATTCATTTCTGAGCAAAGGGGAGCATTGGGCAAAGAAGTAATTCAGGGATAAATGTTTATGAGGACATGCTGGTAACAAAATTGGAGGGTAAATTTTGATGGGCAGATTTGGAATAGCACTGTGTAAAGGGTTTGTGAATGAAAATAAAAGTGAAGGTCAAGGTTATCAATTTGAAAAGGAAGTGCTAGCTAGAAATATAAACAAAAGTTGGGATTTTTTTCTTTTCTTTCCTATGGGAATGATAACATTTGAGAGATTTAAAATTCCAGTTGAATCATTTCTGATTTGACTGTCTGATGTGGGACTGTCTGCCTTGTGTGGAGATCTTTCCCCCTTTTGTCAGCCCCCCAGCAGGTTATTATAAAGTACGGCATAGGTACCACTGAGCAAGATTCTAAAATGAAAAATGGATCCTGCAGTACTCTCTGGTTAGGATAAATTGATTTTAAAAAGGGAGGAGTGGTGAAGAGAAGCAGATCTCCTGAGAGCTCTAAGGAGCTGGAAAACACCGCTTTGCTGATAGTGTATGGATTACCCAGTGGTAGAACTAAAGAATTACATTTGAAAGGCTTTTTGTGATAGGTCTTGCTAAATTTTCAGTAGAGATCCTTTGAATTTGGTGCTGGTTGATAGATATCTACTATCTATGATAGTCAAAAAACAAAAAGGATGAGCATTCCAATGTTTATTAGTTCCAGCTTGGAGAGCCCAACTTACCAAATAAGTTCCAGTGATAAAACTGCACTGGAGCAGGAGTGGGGAAGCAGCATTTGGTAAAAGTGTTCTAAATCTTAAAGAGAAAACCATGGGAGGTGCAGGACTTTGCCTTAGATGAGCCCCATGGGTTCATGGAGGAGGCAAGCCAGGTAGCAGGAAATGGTCCAAGCCCTGCACACTTGGTCTTCCATGTTCTGTGGATGGATAACACGTAGGAAGCGGAAGCTGAATGCCTTGTCTGTTAGGCTGCGTAAGCTCAGGACTTGTCTCTTAACTGTCTCCTGTTGAGCTGTCAGCTGTACAGGTCTTGCCTGCAGGAATGGAGGCAAGGTAGGCAGCTCCTCACCAGCTCCTGCACCAAAAGTTAGAAACCCACTGGGAGCAACCAAAGCATAACCATGAACAAAGTAGCGGGCCCTAGGACCCCGTCGCCCATCGCCCTTGCCTCGTGTCCTTCCCTGGGCTTCAAAAAGGAGCTCTGCACAATCCAAAGCCACCAGGGGCATGTCTTGATGTCTGATAAGCCGCTGTGGCTTAAAGATGTCTATGTAACGCTGGCTGCAGGAGACAGGTATCTGTAGGTGGAGAAGGAAGTATTTGCCTTGAATTAAAGGAAACAACCAAATATAAAAGGGCTGGACCCCCTCCCCTAGTAATTTTAGCTTAAAACTTATTCCCAGTTAAGTCTTTGGGAGACACATCTTGACCTTTCAGAACAAGAGGGAAAACAACCATCACCAAAGCTGGAGCAAACATTCAGTATTTTGGGAATTAGGTGGCTAGTTTCCTCACCCCTGGCATAACCCAGCTCTGGTCTGTCAAATGTAATCTGCAGTTTGTTGTGGGTAGCCAGGCTTCAGCAAGCTGGCACCCTACAGATTTGTTTGATTACAGACCTCAGTGAGGTTTGGATGGGGGGGGGTAGTGTGGAATACAATTTTTTCCTAATTAATTGAGGGGAGGGGCTACAGTCCAAATGTCAAACTATCAGGACAAATATACTAGTGCTCTCACCAAGGGTAGTAGTCCCTTTGTCTGAAATGGGAATGGGGTACTATAGTTGGCCCTACATATCCATGGATTCAACCATCTACATCTTGAACATATATACACACACACACACATATATGTACACATTCCAAATAGCTAACCTTGATTTTGCCATTTTGTATCAGGGACACAATTTTACTGTGCCATTGTATTTTACGGAACTTGAGCATCCACGGATTTTGGTATCCACGGGGGATCCTGGAATCAAACTAGAGTGATCCCCAAACTGTGCCCTTTAAGGGATTTTGGACTTTAACTCCCAGAAGCCTCAGCCATGTTGGCCAATAATATGAGATTCTGGGAGCTGAAATCCAAAATCCCTTAAAGGGCACAGTTTGGGGATCACTGCTACAGGATACCAAGGGCCCACTGTACTTTGAATTGCACATCTAGCTTTGATGCACCAGGGGTCAGTGCAGAACCTTAGCAGAATATGATGTCAAACTACTGCTCAGCCAACAACTAAGAAGGAGGGATTCATTCTGAGCAGAGACCTTTCTTGTCCCCACACATTTTCTAGTAAATAGTAGAATGGGGCACCCTACAAATCTGTTTATGCCCATAAGGGGCTGCAGGGAGAAAGATGAAAAGACACAAATACTAAAAACAAGGACAGGAAACCTTGAACATCTCAAGCCTTACAGGGGGGCACGTGACCCTCCAGTTCTTAGACTGTAACTCATCAATCCTCATTGGCTACACAGTTTGAGAGTGATGGGATTTACAATCCTTGAGCATTCCGAGAGCCACAAATTACATCTATCTTGAAGTGTTCCTCATGGGTCCAAACACTAGAAATAATCCAGTTTGAGACCATTTTAATTGCCCTTGCTAAATGTTAGGGAATTCTGGCAGCTAGTTTTGTGAGACATTTAGCTGCCTCTGTCAGAGAGCTCTGGGGCCACAATAAACTACAGTTCCCAGGATTCCCTAGCACTGAGTCAGGGCAGTTAAAGCGGTCTCAAACGGGATTATTTCTGCAGTGTGTTTTGGACTACAGGCAACTAATTACTAAGGATGACCAGAATTTATTTCCCAAACCATTTTGACATCCAAGATGATGTGGAAGATAGTGGTGTTACCATTTGAAAGAACTATCAGTTATCTCTGAAGAAGAGTCAGATGTCAGAGTGAATAAACCAGCACCGGTGTACGGTTACTTTCTGGCAAAACCTCTCTAGTTTCACAAATACGTATTGGAAAATAAAACATTCTTCAGCTGTGGTTATAGGAAGGGTGTGTGAAAAGTAAATAGAAGAATCTCTGGCTACTCACCTGTCTCAGCCTCCTCTCCATGATCTCCATCCAGCTGCGCCAGTAGCGGGAGGCTGTGGATTCAGAGATGTGAAAGCGGAAAGCCAGGTCTTGAAGAAGCAGCCCCAGGCGCAACCGGACAAGTACCAAGAACAGCTGGTTTTCAGGGCTGAGGGCACTGGGAAGCCTACTATCTGGGCTCCCCTGTTCCCCTTCACTGTTGAGAAGGAAGTCCATAAAGACCATGAGCTGCGGGTAACCATCAAAGCCTGTGTAGAACCTCATCCACTTGCCATTATTCTTGACGCTTTCGAGAGAGAAGGCTCCATGGTGTGCCTGGACCTCTTGCTGTCCTCTCAGCTGCCTGCTTAGAGTCAGGGTGGTGGCACTACTGGCATCTAGCTCCTTCTGTAAGCGTTGGCTTGTGGACTCCAGCTGGTTCCTCTCACAGCGCAGGCTACAGTTCTCTGCCTCAAGCTTTGAAATGTGTTCTCTGAGTTCAGAGAGAAGAGTCCAGTTCTTATCATCTGCCGTCTTCTGTGTGGTGATGAGAAAATCTGACATTTGCATGGGTTATACAGTCGGCCCTCCATATCCATGGACTTTTTAATCCACAGATTTAAGCATCCACAGATTGAAAATATTCCAAAAAATATAAATTCCCAAAAACAAACCTTGATTTTTCCATTTTATATACAAAGACACCATTTTCCTATGCCTCTGTATTTAATGGAACTTGAGCATCCACGGATTTTGATATCCACAGGGTCTTAGAACCAAACCCCAGTGGATGCCAAGGGCTCACTATATCTCCACCCCAAGCCTCCTTCCATTATAACACATTCTGCCAATGTTTGCCCCTCACCTGTAGTTCCTGACATTCTTTCTGCCTGGCTTCTACTGACTGCTGGAGATGATAGAGCAGCTCACTCTGGTGGTGCACTGTGCCTTTCAGTTCTGTCACAAGGCCCTTTAGTGCTGCAGCTTCCTCAGGTATACAGTATGCATTGTGATCATGTAGCACAGCCATTTTGGAATTGTTCGCTTCACAGGGTGACTTGCTGATATTTTTCATCCATTCAGCTGCAAAGACTAGGTCACCTGCAAAGAAGCATTTTCCACTATGGAAACAAAGATATATAGAGATCTTTATATATAGATAATTCAGCAGCATTGCTAATGGGCTGAGTTTCTCTCAGAAACCATCAGTTGTGATCCTTAGTGCCACCTAGTTGGCATCTAAACTGCAGAAATAATGCACTTTGACACCACTTTAACTGCCATGGCTCAGTGCTATGGAATTCTAGGATTCGTAGTTTTGTGAGATGTTTAGGCTTTTCTGTCAGAGCTCTGGTGCCATAACTACAAACCACAGGATTCCTTAGCATGGAGCCATGGCAGTTCACATAGTGTCAAACTGCATTATTTTTGCAGTACAGATGCAGCCCTTGTCTATTTAGAATTGTCCCTAGGCTCTCAGATTTTGGCCTTGAGATAGTCCTGACTTGACAACCCTAATCTTATCTCACCACAGATTTTAGAGCAGTGCACCAATTGAAAAGCCATGGTTCAGGTTGAAAGAGCTCTGGGAAATGTGGTGCCCTGAGAGAGCCAGAGTGCTATAGCAACTCTGAAAACTATGGAAACTACAATCCCCAGGATTCCCTGAGAAAACATCTTTTAAACCTGTATAATATCTTTTTAAAGTGCACAATTGGCTTATATCTCCCTGCTTTTTTATTGTATGCCTTCAAGTAATTTCTATCACCAGGTCTTCTTGGCAAGATTTGTTCAGAGGAGGTTTGCCCTTGCCTTCCTTTGAAGCTAAAAGAATGTGATTTGGCCAAAATCACCCAGTGGGTTTTGATGACTGAGTGGGGATTTGAACCCTGGTCTCCAGAGTCTTAGTCAAACACCCAAACCATTACACCACACAGGCTCTTATCCTCCTGATATCCAATCTATTGTACAGCTTTTCCCTTACATCTGCTAATTCAGGCCCATTTTTTCAGAGATTAAATCTAGAGGTAAACTTCACTCTTAGACTATAAAAGCGTTATTTTCAGGATGTTTATAAACGTACCCCTTCCCTGATTTAAAGGAAGCCAGTTTAGATCAATAATTTGTGTAGTGGGGGAGCAGATCAGATTCGGATGTCCTTTTACGACCCCCCTACAGACAGTAAAGTCCATGGTCATACAACAGAAGCCCATCTTTGGAACTCCCTCCCTAGGATGACTTGTTCTATGCCATCTTTTTTCTTATTACTGTCAAGTTAGTGGTTTTTTAAAATTTGCTTATGCCAATTAGATCTTTTTTTAACTGGGATTTTATCTGTCTAGCTCAGGGGTAGGCAACCTAAGGCCTGGGGGCCGGATGCGGCCCCCCAAGGCCTTTGGACCGGCCCAAGACTGGTCCTGCCACCGCTGCCACCGCCGCCTACCATAATGATATTGATTATTGTTGTTATTACTTGTTCTTGGGGTTTTCTTGGCAAAATCTCCACAGGGGTTTTGCCATGGCTTTTCTGGGGCTGGGAGAGTCTGCATGCATATTTTTTAAAAAAATTTTATTAATTTTTTAAATTTTAATTTTAATTTATTTATTTATTTATTTTTGGTGCTTCGGCCCCCCAATTGTCTGAGGGACAGCAACCCGGCCCCCGGCCCAAAAAGGTTGCCTACCCCTGGTCTAGCTCTTCCATTGTGTAGTTGTATTCATTTTATTGAAAGCTTTACTGGAACAGAGATGTGTGGGTATAACTTACAGCCCAATGGTTAGTGTCCTAGACTCTGGAGCAGCATCTCATCCCATCTTCTACATGACATCCCCTAAGAACATGCTGGCGAACCCATGGCACACTGCATGAGATGGCATGCAAAGCCATTTTCCCCAGCACACAGAGCAGGGAAGAGGAAGAAAGGCACATGCCTGTTTCTCTTTCTCCTGGCCAGGGGCAGCTGAAGGCCCAGGAAGGTGCAAGAGGAGGAGGAAGACCAGGCATGCACCTGTTCCTCCTCCTCCTCCTGGACCATCAGCTGCCTCTGGAGAGGCAGCTGAAGGCCAGGAAGGGGGCTGGGGGAGGAGGAGGAAGAACAGGCATGCACCTGTTCCTCCTCCTCCCAGGCCTTCAGCTGCCTCCGGAGAGGCAGCTGAAGGCCTGGGAAGGTGTGTGTGTGTGTGTAGGGGGGGAAGAAGTTCTGCCCCCATAGGGCGGATGTCCTGTTCCTCCAGAAGTCCTGTTCCTCCAGAAGTCCCACCTCCGGCACGGGGTAACACCTGGAGCCAGAAGGCTGTCTCATTTGGGCACTTGATGCCTAAAAGATTTGCCATCACTGCCCTCAGACATTTAAAGATAGCTAGCTCATCTCTTAACACATTCAGGGACAGAAAAATACAACAAAATCCACAAAACAGTGATACCTCTATTGACCCACTTTAACAAGAGGGAGCGAATGGACCGGGACTTAATTCTTTGAGGATTTTATCTCCAACAAAGGTAAAACTCTTTCATTTGGACAACAGTTATACAGTCCCTAAATGTTTTTTCCAGCTCTAACAGTACAGAGACTTCTTGAAAAATCCAATGTTTTCTGCCTAAGAAAGGGACAGTTAGCTTCAAACTGGACAGGGACAACCTTGATCTCAAGGAATCTTGTATGTGCATTGATTGAACAACTTTTCTGTTGCTGATGGAGTTGAAATTTTGTTACCTGTATTTTATTGCCCTTTGTGCCGTTCTCACATGGCTTAGAAATGGAGTGGCCTCTGCCTGCACTGAGATCCCACCACAGACCATCATAATAAATATTATTATTATTATTATTATTATTATTATTATTATTATTATTATTATTATTATTATTGACAACAGAAGTATGTAATCTGAGTCAAAATATAGGCCTATGACTCTAACATCATCACTTTTCTTCTGTATGATTTCTAATATCTTTGCCTGATGAAGAAGCCAATGAAGCTTCAAAAGCATACATGATGTATTTTGTGCATTTTGTTTGGCCAATCAAGGTACAGGTTGAGTCTCCCTTATCCAGAATTCCAAAGCCCCAAATACCGGTACTTCAAAATCCAAAATTGTCCACAAGAGTGGCTGAGCTAGTGACACCTTTGCTTACTGATGGTTCAGTGTACACAAACTTTGTTTCATGTACAACATTATTTAAAATATTGCGTATAAAATTACCTTCAGCCTACGTATATAAGGTGTATATGGAATATAAATGAATTTCATGTTTAGACTTGGGGATCCCATCTCCAAGATATCTCATGTACATGCAAACACACACAGAAATAGGTTCACCCTAAGTCCAAAACAACTTGAAGGCACACAACAACAGATACATATGTAAATATACATATTTACACTCTCTCCCTCTCTCTCTCTCTCTCTGTGTGTATATATACAGTGTGTGTGTGTGTGTGTGTGTG